GGTTCACTCCGTATCCAGTTTTCGGTGTATAAATTTCTATACCACAGTACTTCTCGACGAGTATGTAGGATTCTGAAACCTGGATACCAAGCCGCCGGCAGTCACAACCTATGGAGCACAGTCAAATTCGTTGATTTTATTAGGAACCAAAAGCGACTGGACAAAACTGCCCCTTGTGTAGGTTATTCCTCACTGTTTGCTGATATGCATTTGTGTGAAACCGTGGTTGTCACTCACTTGCAACAACTTACAAGTGAATAGCAGCTATACACAATTTCTTGTAGCCAGACTCAAAGGTCTTCTTTTGCGCTGTACTCTGAGCGCATAATTTTGTTCTATGACAACTTCCGTCGCTTACTTGATGAGTTAGATAAGGGTGTCTTCTCGGCCCTGCACCGGCCGATATCTTTGTGACCAAGCTTGAAACCATGTTAGTTGCTTTAGACATGGGGATGACGCGTTCATAACTTGTGGTCGGAACAGGGACTCAATGACTTTTTTGAAAGTCACTACTAATGTTTACCCCAGGATAGCTTTTGTGAGTGTGAAACCGAGCTGAAAATGGGTGTTGCTGCAAAATCGATTAGGTCGTAGACACAGCTGGATTCATTTGAGTCTCCTGTCAAAACCGATTTCTTATGCGAATGAGAGTATGTCACGAAACAATTTAGATTAGTTTACCATTGTCACGCGCGAAATTGAATCGTTCTTATAAGTGGGAAATGCAACATATCTGATGTAAAAATGGCAAAATGTCCCAAAGCACAACCCGTACGGAGCTGCTCGTAAAAACAATGCAAACTGTGCGTCAAAGAGTGTGCAGGCCAGATCTTTACAAAGTGGTTGGTGAACATTTTGGGTCTTTCTTCAGCAGGGAGAAACATATATTTGCCGAATAGTTTAGGCTGATCTGAATATTCATGACCATCACTTCTGGGCGAGCACGTAATTTCAAATCCGTGCCCTCACGAAGTACACACTAACTGAGACAGAATGTTATGTTCTAACGTCTGGTATGGTTGTTTATCTAGCAATATGCGGTTCTTGAACTTTCACACCTTAATCTCTAAAGCTTCGTTAGACACACTAGCAAGACTGTATCCTGTCGGCAGTGCTTTGCATGACGACTCCACGAGCATAAAAATGTATGACATTAGTGGATGAATTTTCATTAAATCAAGTGCAAATTTCATGAGGAAATAGATGAACTCTTTAGGACAAACCAAGAAATCGGGCTAACTGACTAGATTGTTGTCGGTCGGTATTGAAAATACTCCTTCAAGATACAGCAGATACAGGACTACTGATGGTGGTTAACTGCGAATAAAATTGAATAACTAGTATTGCATTCTTTACCGAACAGCTGTACCAGGGTTTATCCGGTGTTTCTTTCATTTGAATGAAGCACTGTGTGAATAGCCGATGAGAATCCGCAGTCACACGTGGTAAAAACTTACGTCGACAACTTCAGTTACAAGCAATAAACCGAATTGTTTTTTAAAGGGATCCACCGTTTGGTGTAAATTCCTAGACTTTTTAGCCCAGAGTCAGTCTCGTGGCAGCAATTAAGTGCTTTAAATTTGTTGCTCCATCGATTCCGGCGCACCGCGGTGAGTGCAGAACATCCAAGACACCTTGCTTAGTTAACGCGACTTAGTATATCTTATTGTGTTCTAGTTCCTAACTTGGCTGTATTTTTCAGGAAGATTCATGCACGGTGGTTTTCATCTTGCAAAGAGGACGCTCGACAAAAAGTTGACCTATGCAAATAGGGCTTAGTATGGACTGCTATGGAACAGAATATTGGTAGCATATTGGTTGCATAGCTGGTCATTGGTTTGTTCGCACAGCTGGGCAACCTGATTGCAAACGTTTCATCACCAATCGGGGTGACATCAGTGCGTTGTTGTGGAGTGTGGTGGAACCCAGCTTAGCTGAGTTCAGCTGAATCCTTCGTTTATGATGGTCCGTTTCGACTGAATGTGCTGCATACAGGCTCCTCATGTTTCAGTTGGGGTGATGGTGGAGCCATCGTTCCAAGAAGTACGAAACTGGTCTTTGGCATTTGAAATTTTCCAATAAACTTGTGCGTGTTGGTTTCGTCACAAAAATATGTTGTAGAGACTTAAATGTCGTATCAACTGAAATATGAGGCGACCTTTGTATGACTGAGAGATTCAGATGGGATTCAGTAACGTCTCCCTCGTTACACTCGAACAAGTTTGCAAATGAGTGTATTTCACCAATTAGTAGCACTCGCTCTGCTAACGAATGTTTTTGAATGTAGTCTGTGAACAGTTAGAAACTGACGCATGTTATGAGAGACCCGTTATCCTTCCGTTTAGCTAGCCGGCCAAACCAGTGTTGGCGCCGGTGCGAATTGTTATGGGTATAAACTTCAAGCTTGCAAATTCCCACGCCTGTGCCTTCACTATTGGCCAATATCTTCGTTCTGATAGACCTCAGCAGTTCAGTCGATTCTCCCTCAAAAGCAAATGTGTATGCAAATAAATGTAGTTTGTATTTCAGAGAAGCCCCTGATCGTTCACCCCGTGCTTCCCCTAAGGTTGAATAAATGCAAATTATTCTGGTAGCCGAATCCTAAGGTTCCAAAGGTAATTATTTTGACGAATCCCTCCAAATCTGTTGCAAAACTGACCCAAAGTAGGGAACCAGCTGAAGTCACTGAAGTTGCATATCCACGCAAACTCCCATTTGTTTTCTTTCACGCGAGTTTTTTTGGTGTTTGGAAGTCATCCGTTTAAGCGATTATTATTCAGGTATACAAGCAATGGTGTACGACATTTCTAGAGTTTTGTGACCAAACTAGCAATCTGTTGTTCAGTTTATCCCCACGATGGAATTATTTAGAAAGGTGGCAATTCCTCCGAGACGTCGTGTTTCACGAACCCCTCCTGTAGAAGCATATCCAAAGTATCTGAATTATTTCGCTAAATTTGAACGACGAGTTGAAATTGTTGATTTAGAATCCCTATAGGCAATGCTATAGAACCTTACATCAAACACGCTTTACGGGTCCAGTCTCATACTTAAATGGAGCTTGATTAGTGTGAAGGACAGTTTGGGTCGCCACTTTCTACCAACTCCAGTATTCCTGAACCGGGCCATTCCGGCCCCTTTTTTATTCTTTTTGTTTTATGATAGGTTTTGAGCAGGATGGTGGTTTTGCCCAAACATTTATACCCGAGATAGTTTACAGCATTCATTGTTCTCAACTATTTGTGTTCTCATAGTGTTACAATTTTCCTCTTGAGCTTAAGCGCTTTACTTAAAGCCAGCGGATTTCCCAGACTTTTTTTTCCCGAAATGGCTTATCGTTATTTTTTTTTACCACGGTCCAGACATTTGATCACCTGTGGTGAGTTTTGCATTTACTTTCTATCCACTAACGTTAAGAGATCCTCTCATCTTGCGTAACGTTGTTCATAGTCCAATGCATCCACAATAGGCGTCTCGCCTTTCGGTCCTTTTGTCTGTCCTGCCAGTCTCTTTATACTACCTGCCACCTACTGTTTAAGTTATGTAACTTTGATGGGTTTCAAGCATTCTGTAACACGAATGCTCAGTGTGAATATTTGTACGCGGAATCCGCTTCACAAGACTCCGAGTTGAGACCAAGTTTAGCACACCGCGTACCATAAGACACATTTGAGTCGCGGCCTGCTCATGTCCGATTGTGTTTCACATCGTTGACGGTGATACAGCTGTTCTCGGCTACTTACGTGAACCGTTACTCATGCTTCTTACCCGGCACAAGCGAAACGCTAAGAATTCACTTGTGTATGTGGATAAAGTCCCGCTCAATTCAGATTGATTTGCTTAATTGTATCTAGCTTCTGGCTAGGTATTCATACCGATATTAAAATACAGGAAGTGATCTGCTTCCATATGTAAAACTTGGGTGTCTTAGGCTGAAAAATTAGCATACTGTTACTGCTTCTTACGTGTGTTGGGAACCGGTTGACTTCTATAACCTTCGTATTCACTAGCCACCAAGAGTAGTTACAGCAGTTTTGCCAGCGTCTATTTTGAAAAATTTATTTTTTGGAGGACTGCCTCTTGCAAATTGGTTTCTTTATCAAATCGAAACTTACATTTGACACCTAGTCACCTGTCCCTTAAAATCCATAAATGATTCCCCCGATCCAAAAATTCCCGAATGTCAGTTGAAACCTTCAACTCAAACCCGTTTCCCACGGGGCATACACGCGCTATCGATTGGTCACATCTATTTTCAGATTATCTTAAAAAACCAAAGACAAGAGCATACAAAACTAACGAGTGAGAAGATTCAGAACTATGTATTTAGTAGAAACTGTTTACCATCAGTGTACAGTGAACGACAGACGAGCGAAAATCTACGAAAAATATTTCAGCACTAAAGAAAACAAAGAAAATCATCGTACACGTAGCAAAGTAGTTACAAAAGCACTTCAATAGCAGCGTTACCCCGTCCGGGATCTCACGGGTAGAAAACCAAGGATCGGCGCCGGTATCTTCTACCTGTGTTCCAAAAAAGAGGTTTTCGTGATTGTAACGAGACAAAGTGGGTGATTTTCATCTTTTAACAAGGTTACAGCTCCGTAGTCATGTTAGTGTCCCTTAGAGGGTGAGAGACCAAGTTTAACTTGGGAATTCTTTCGTCTCAGTTATATTTAGGCCTAAGTTGCGGGCAACTATACTGTCACATGGACTGGCTACTTGGAGCATGAAAATATGCTTCAACGTGCTTTCCTACCTTCATATTAACAGCTAGTACAGTTACTGGCTTCATCTTGTCTACACATCAAAACATTAATCGAAAACAGAGATGGCTGGTTGTACCTTGCTCCAAACACCCTGTTTGTCCATCACAACTCACAAAACCCAAGATTTGATTGAGAAATTGTGTATCCAACCAAACGAGTAATTTTACAACAGGAATAAGTCTCACAACTCAAGATACGCTCAGTGGTTTTACTCTTCACATACGCACGGAATCACATTAATAAGAAGTCCGTCTCGGTAGTTGTAGTTTCAATACACGCAGGTCGTCGTAGCAAGAAAACTTCAATACCATCAGTCTTCACCCTAATTCTACAATTGTTCACATCCAACGGAAGTGGTAGGTTGTCCACATGCAAAACATAGTGTTTACCAACCAAATCGTGCGTACCGTAAACATCCAAGTCAAATCCGTATGGATGCGGTCCAAAAACAATGTCGGCGTTGTAAGCCACGTCGTCGACCAGGGGCAGACAAGGGTTCAGGGTGCTGCATGCCATCGTCCTCAATCCGCCCACCTGCACGTCCATTTGGAGTATATCGGGAGTGCAACTTCGGACCCAGTTGAAACCTGGAACGATGTCATGATAGAAGTAGCCCATGGTATGTCTGAAGCTATCTGCCGATGTTCGCGTACGATAAACGGGGAGATTACGTGGGTTCTCACACTAATACTAATCAGAACTGGAAAATTCCTCCGTGATTGGTTCATATTTTTCTAAAGAAAAATTGAGTTTCTATTGGTTATACTGATTTCAGGACAATGTTAGATGGTTGATGCTGAGTCTAGCAGCTAAGTACACTTTGCAATGAGAGGGCTAATCGCGTTCAGATAGCACCATCATGGGACAGGTGCATCCATGCAGTGCTTCATTTTATTGGGTTTCACTGATTTGGAGAAATAGCCCTCTATAGGAATCCTGTGGCTACAACAGCTATCCTACACGTCTACTTGGTTCACTGGGGTTCAATCAAACCCTTGTCAGGAACACAAACCTCCATGTAACGAGAATATGACATTCTTGGACAAAGTTAGCTTACCATAACCTTCTGTTAGCTCGGAAATTTTGAATTCCCAAAGGAGGGAGACCTCCGTAAAAACGACCGCCATGTGATAAATAGCACTTAGAGGGCTTAGTAGATTTTAGGCACTGTTTGGTTAGAAGCTGATCCCAGAAAGAAGCCATAACTCAACAGAGCTATTCGCTGCTAGTTCGTCTAGAAAAACGGAAGAATTATAAATGCACATCGAAACGGTCGGGGCATCCAAGATTTTCTTTCGCATCATCCTCGTCTGAACAATCATTCTGCTATCCTGTGGAAAGTGTTCTGGTGACTGCACACCAGAAGCACCGGACTCGAGTTTTACTCTTACCAGAACTCACTAGTAGCGCGTTTCCTTGACCGTGCCGGGATATCTAGCACGCCCCGCTAGCGCACACCGGAGGTACCTGAATAATCATGTCTGAGAAGGCGAACATGTTCATAATTGAGCGATGTGATTGGTTTTCTCAACGTAAGTTTGTACTCGCAAACTTCGTCCAACCCACAGGCGCTACTTAGAAGATCTTTCTGCTGTTGCTGGACGGCGCTCAAAGATGGAAGCATATTCGCCATTTTCGATTTTCTTTAACTCCCACTTCACTAATCATCATTTCCAAGTCACTAGTGAATCCCCTGCTTCCCTGTGCATCTTGGCAAAGAGATAGACTTGTCTGGATGTGGCCGTGCAGTATAGCACAATCGCTTACAGGTACGCACTTCGTCTTGTGGGGCCAGAATAATCTTTGGATTTGACACACAAGCGCGAGGCACAGACCATCTTGGAAATCTTTGAAAAACCATTCAGTGGTAAAGTTGTATACTGCACCACAGGAGAACCCATTCCGGAGCAAAAGTGGAGCTACTTGAAAGAAGAGTTTTTGTTTGTTTGTCTACCATACTAGAGCGCCACTCTACAAGTGGCGTGGCAAAAATCGTGGACACAACACTCATAAGTAGGTAGTACACTGAATAATAAAGTTTATTGCTGAGAACCGCTAGCTGCAAAGCTTTTACGAATGCCCTCGACGTCAAATCCTGGGTGCTCCTTCACTTACAGTCGCAATGACATTCATGGAGGAAGAAATGGGAAGGAACTTGAGAAGCGGGTAGGCCTCAAACACCCTGAAACAGTTCCATGACTGCCATTCTACGTTTGACGGGAGTTCCACTTCTTCTATCGCCAAAAACCTTCCAAAATGTGGCCGCCCAGTTAATATACCTTTATACTTTAAAGTCATCACAAGTCCGAGACCCCGTCTGTTGACCAATCTTGAAGTTTTATTTATGGCATGATTTGAACCAGGCCTTTTTCATTCATTAAAACTTATGAGCCAGATACACTGTCTCGTGGTCAACGTGACCCGGTGGTAGGTTGTGATTGAATATGAATGTTGAATTTAAAATAATATCGTCTTTGTTTTCAGCAACCTTACGAGTAGTGTATTACGTCTATACATGCATCGCGATGTCGAATGTCGCACCGAATGAAATATGAAGCGCAGCACATGCAGTTTCTTAGAAACATCATAAACGAGAGGTTCAGCTGGGTTCCAGGTGATTCTCTCGCAAAACCAAATTTGTCTGCAAATTAGTGTATTTCACCAATGCGTTTGTTTATTTGTTCGTTATTTATGTGACACGTACTGCACCTGATAAGGTCATCCGACAGTCCTACACATGCCTTCTACCTCGACTACTATTCTTATTCACAAACGAACCTAGAAGCCATAAATTGTGGTTTCACGAAACTTCACTTTCTTTGACGTCGATTTTTGGGGATAGTACGATAAGGGTTATTTTGTACTTATATCCCCAGGCTTATTTTAACCCGCCTTACTGCTTTCATTATCTATGGATGCTTTGTTTACTCAGAGGACTAGTCTGTAATGCGCCTGTCCCGCCCAGTCCGTACGGCCGTGCGGCAGTATACAGCCCGTTCTACAGCTTCACATTTTCTGGATGATACTTTGACGGGTACGTGCTTTGGGCAGCTGTGTTTCATTCGTTATCCTCTTTTTGGAATGTAAGAAAGCTTCGTGAACAGCCTTATTCTTCTATGAGTGGTGACCAAATTCTAATGCCCAGAATATTAATGAACATGGAGAATTGCACGTGCTACAATGGTTGCAATGAAAATGCAACGTGCAATGTGCCGGTGCTGAAATCGAGTTTCCGGGAGAAGACCTGTTCAATTACTGTTCGTAATTCACCTCTAAAGATAATTGTGACGTCAGCAGACAAGGACAGTTAGGCGACACTATCAGATTAGGTATGTCTGATTGATCAAGAACTCCTACACTGCTGAGTCAACGAAAGACAGCTGAAGCATCAATAAAAAAACAGTTGCTCAATCGGGGCGTCACACACCTCCAACGTTAACGTGTTTCAATTGATGAACTAGAGAACCTATGAAAATACACGTGACCATAAAGTGATCCGAGACCGAAAAATCTAATCAAGGCTTTAAGACCTCATTCAGACCCGTCGAGACATGGGATACGTGACACCAGGATTAACGGTTGCAATCTCTTGCCCTCTGAAGTGCGATCAGCTCGTACAGCCGTTAAATTCTGGTTTGGCGTGCACTTTGGTTTGAAAGCGGTACTGACTTATTCATCTATCAAATGAATCATCTTTATCCATGGCTGGGGACAGGGAGAAGATAAGACGACATCCAAGCTAAATGAACTGACAGAATTTTGCCTACGGTTGACACTTTGAGAACGGGAGTAAGCCTGAACCACTTGGATTTTATAATGTATTTATGACGGCTGAGTCAAAGTAACTGATATCAAACACCTCATTATGTTCCGTACCATCAAAAAACTAAAGCCATTCTAGGGGAAAGCAGCCAAAAGCAAGTGCCTCTGTCAAGATTTGTGCTCAGCTACCGAATGGTAGACTTCAGCCTTGATTATCCACGGCCGATTTTCTTAGGTGGAATGAAAAGCAGATCGCATGTAGGTGATACGTTTGTTTACCGTAGTAGTGATTCCCTCTTCAAGATACCAACAGAATTTGGATGTTTTTATCAGTTCCTGATAGAAACCGGGCGAGTTGTATAATTTTTGCAACCAAACTTACCTCGGTTTGTCCAATTATTCTGAAAATTGATAAAACACTGTGCTTTCCTATCATACCAAAGTAAAGTAGTCCTAATCTGGCCATATCATACCCAAAGCAATTCAGCCAAACTACTCAGCCGCGTCATTTTTTCGTATGCATGAATCGAGGAGCCTAAGTTTCTCAAATGTTAGTGGTCCACTCAAGCTGAGCTATTACGGTGTTCCCCCCCTAAGAAGAATCCTCCTCGTGACGACCGCTTCCCTCATAATACGGCGTTCTGACTGGCTCATTGATTCGTCTTCCGTTTGGTGCCCATGAAATGGGACCTTACACGAACGAACGGATAACACACAACCTCCAATAGTGGGGATCTAACAATGAATATGTGGAGTGAATGATTCTGTGTCAGACCCTAGTCCAAATGCACTGGCAGCAACCCATGATTTACAACCTAAGACCATCGAACAGCAGCATCGTGGCTGTGCGCACCCGATTGTGCAGAGTGAAAAGATGTGCAGATTGGTCACTATGGCCAAAAGGATATATTCAATGTCGTACCATCCTTCTTTAACTCGCACGATTTGGAATGAGAGCGTGGGGTAGCCAGTGGGTATAAATTACACAAAGGCAGGATAATCCTGTCAGTTTGTGTAAGCATGGGGGCGGGGGCGAAATAAAGGATACCTTTTGTAATACGCAAGTATGAGTGCATGAAGGACGTTGCCCGAAAGCATTTTTCCTGTATCTACAACCATTTACGCTCAGAGTAAACGACAAGTTTTTGTTCCGGAATCGTTTGTTGTACTTGAACAGAAAAGACGGATATGCATATTGGTTGACAGGAGTCGCTCAAATAAGAATATTTCAATTGTCTGGTCGAAATGATAAAATGGTAGAAGATGTCAACCAAACGGCACGGTGACGGCAAGTTCGGGATGTTTTCTTCTAGACTTGGTGACAGGCACATACCAGGTCGTAGGTGATATCACACAGGTAAAATAAAGCCCTTATAATTCCAAATGATTGGAGAAGAACATTAATTTTCAAGCCAACTGGGATGTCTCTTCTCATATAGAATCACACAGTTACTTGGAGTTCGCTACATCCTGACACGTTTTTCGCCGTCTATTTTTCTTCATTTCCCATAATTTTGCCCAGAAATATATTATTTGTAACGATTTGATACCGTTGTTTTGCTCCTGAACTACTGGTACGGCTGCACAACCTTTCTAAAAATAGTATTAGCATTAACAAAAGTAACTAGTCCCATACAATGGTAGCTTCTGAGAATTCGGCAACGGCTGATATATCCCAGTTTCAGTCCTGACAAAAGCACTGGCCAATTAGTGCCACACGGCAGTCGGTGTGCATCGCAGCCTACTGCTTATTAGCGAGTAGCATAAATTTTTACAAAACTGTGACAGGCCTCCGCGAAAACAGGAAGGGATATCTAAAATAAACCTGAAACTGGCTCCTTTTCTCCGTTATGCAC